GTAATCTATCGCGTGTTCGCCTTTTAGACTTCCAGGGTCAACCTGGTTGCTACAGTCGGCTTCTCGCCATTTTCTACACCTCATGCTCTAAATTGTTCTTGAGATGATTTTTATTCTTTTTTTTGATTTTCGTGCTTTGTGAGTGTTGTAATTACCTCAGTATATGATCAGTAATAGGAAATACTAGGATTACCAAAGCGGCCAGGGGTATCCTATGTTAGTGGGGCCATTGAAAAGCTCCTACAAGCTGACCTACACTTTCCTGTGAGAACAAGTATTCGCCATCTCCGTTTTATTTTTCGAACTCACCTTGTTTTATACGGCTATCAGGTACTGGAAATGAATGTTAGGAAAACGAAGATACGCGACAACGTAAAAAACAGCGTTGATGAAAATACCTGACTATCAACGATTCTCTGGGCTTGCGGGCCTGAAGGTCGGGATGATTGTCGTGGCACTGACTCCGATCTCGGTGACATTGGCGATGATGGCTTGATATCCTTTTTTACTGAATTCGAAAGCTCAAGCACACGTTTCACCAGTTGTTCGTATTCTTCGGTCCTAGGATTTTTCATGTTTTGTTTGAATAGGCTTTTTTTTTTTAAAGCAGGAGAGGTTGGACTTTGATCTTAAACATTTTTAAAGGATAAGCAAAGTAATCTTGTCAACTCATTTGCAACCATACGCGAGATACCTGCTGTGCAAGGCTGTTTGCTTTTGAGCTCTACATTTTCGATGTGCGTAAGTCGTTTTTCTTAAGGCATCCAAATGAGCAACAGCATCTTTAATATAGGACGCTCACCTCTTACTCACTGGATTTTGATGACTTCCTAGCATAACTAACGTTTGGTGGGGAATCAGGCTACTTATTGGATCATGAAGAGGCACGCCAGACTTCATTTCATTGCTTCCTCTCTATCACAACCGGCGCTTGCTCTTCAGCTTTTGCCCATGACTAGGTTTCAAGCCGGGGGAAGTAGCTGCGTTACTCAAATATAAGCTTTATGTTACACATCTGCGTTTTACAATCCATTTCTCTCCTCTTTTCACCTTCCCACTACAACTCATCTGTTCCATTCATCCATTCAACACTGATAATCTGTACAAAATTGACTACGCAATACTGACTTTTCATGCTGCATTGTTGTTTGTTGTTCAAGTTGCTTCCGCATCTCCTCACTCTGCCTCTCAGCATCAGCACAGCGTTCTTCGCAACTTCGAAAATCGCTTTCCAGGCTTTCCAGCTAGAAATTTTTCGCATGAAGTTTTCATATTTATAATTGCTTTTCACCGTCTTTTCGCAGGAATTCCCTGATGCGAACGATCATTAACATGACCCGATGATAGCATTAATTTCTCGCTTTTTATGCGTTTTTGCCGTGCAGCGCTAGAGCGCTGCAACAGGCAGCAAAAACGCATATT